CTGAGGTCTCCTGAGGTCAGCAGTGACCCCCACCGCCAGCTGGTCAGTGACTGGCGGTCAATACACCTGCCCTTTCCTTGGCTCCTGTGAAACAACTTTCTTCTGGTTTTGCTGGGGCCTCCTCCACCTTAGATCTCTGTAGATGGGTCCTCTGACTTCCCATGGTTCTGTCGGTAGCAAGACGCCCCTTTGTGTGTGTGTGTGTGTGTGTGTGTGTGTGTGTGTGTGTGTGTGTGTGTGGTGGGGCACACGGTAGGCGGCACACCGCATGTGCTCTCTTGTACAGGCGCGCCTCGTTTTACTGTGCTTTGTAGACGCTACTGTTTACAGACTAGAAGGTCTGTGGCAACCCTGTGTGGAGCAGGTCAGTTGGCATCAGTAGCATTTGCTCACTCTGTCTCTCTGTGTCACATTTTGGTGATTCTTGCCATAGTTCAAGCTTTTTTATTATCGTTATAGTTGGTATAGTGATCTGTGATCAGTGATATTTGGTGCTACTGTTGTGATTGTCTGGGGGCACGTGACCCCCGCCGGGTAAGATGGCGAACTTAATTGACACGTGTGTGTTCTGACTGCTCTGCCAACTGGCTATTGCCCCATCTGTCTCCCTCTTCTCGGGCCTCCCTATTCCCTGAGACACAACAGTGTTGAAATTAGGCCACTGATAAGCCCACAGTAGCCTCTAAGTGTTCAAGTGAAAGGGAGAGTCACACGTTTGCCACTTAAAATTTTTTTTAATGTTTTATCTATGTTTGAGAGACAGAGCATGGGTGGGGGAGGGGGAGAGAGAGAGGGAGACCCAGAATCCAAAGCAGGCTCTGAACTGTCAGCACAGAGCCCAATGCGGGGCTCGAACCCACGAACCACGAGATCGTGACCTGAGCTGAAGTCGGACACTTACCAACTGAGCCACCCAAGCGCCCCATGTCTCTTACTTGAAATCAAAAGCTAGAAATGCTTAAGCGCAGTGAGGAAGGCTTGTCAAGACTCAAGACAGGCCAAAAGCTGGACCTCTCGTGCTGAACAATTAGCTGCCTTGTGAATGTAGAGGAAAAGTTCTTGAAGGAGATGAAAAGTGGTATTGCGGTAACCACGTGAATGAGAAGAAAGTGAAACAGCTTTTCTACTGATATGGAGAAAGTTTTAGTCATCTGGATAGAAGATCACACCAGCCACAACATTCCCTTAAACCAAGCCTACTCTGGAGCGAGGCCCTGACTCTCTTTAATTCTGTGAAGGCTGAGGGAGTTGAGGAAGCTGCAGAAGGAAAGTCTGAAGCTGGCAGAGGTTGGTTCCCGAGCTTTAAGGAAAGAAGCTGTTTCTGCAAAAAGCGCAAGGTGGAGAAGCGAGCGCCGACCCAGAAGCTGCAGTCAGCTGTCCAGAAGATCTAGCTAAGACAGTGAATGAAGGAGCTACGTTAAACCACAGATTCTCAGTGTAGACAGAACACCTTTCTGTCAGAAGAAGATGCCGTCTCGGACTTCACAGCTGGAAAGAAGTAGTCAATGCCTTGCTTCAAAGGGGACAGACTGACTCCCTTTTAGGGGCTAATGCAGGTGGCTGGTGACTTTAAGTTGAAGCCAGTACTCATTTACCATTCCACAAATCCTAGGGCCCTTAAGAATTAACGCTGAATCTATTCTGTATTCTGCAAGTGAAAAACAAAGCCCAGATGACAGCCCATCTGTTTACAACATGGTTTCCTGAATGTTGTAAGCCCGCTCTTGAGACCTGCTGCTCAGAGAAAAAGATTACTTTTAAATGTTTTGTTTTTTTTTTAACGTTTATTTATTTTTGAGACAGAG